CAACTGAGATATATATATATATATATATTTCTTTTTTGGTGAGGAAGATTGGCCCTGAGCTAACGTTGCCAATCTTCCTCTTTTTGCTTGAGGAGGATTGTCCCTGAGCTAACATCTGTACTGATCTTCCTCTATTTTATACATGGGATGCCGCCACAGCAGGGCTTGATGAGTGGTGCATAGGTCCGTGCCCAGGATGCAAACCCACGAACCCCCCGCCGCTGAAGCGGAGTGTGCAAACTTAAGCACCACACCACCGTGCCGGCCCCCTGAGATATATTTTTAAGTGAAAAAAGCCAGGTAGAGAAAAGTGTGTTTGGTGTACTACCATTTATCTGAGAAAGGGGAGCCAATACAAATACAGATGTGTACATATTTGTGTGTGTGTGTATATATATATTCACATGTATATATGTGTACACTCCTGTATATATGCATATATATTTGTGTATACACTTACATATGCTTATCTGTATACTAACATTAAAAAATAAACAATGCAAGGAAAAATGGTATTTCTTAAAATGGTTACTTGGAAGGACAGGGAAGGAAGAGTAGAAAGGCAAGAAGACAAACCAGACTCCTTTGAATATACCTTGTTTTGTATATTTGTCTTTGGAACCATGTCAATATTTTATATAATTATAAAATTTAAAATCCAAAATAAAGTGAAACACGTGTATCCATCTGATAGCTTAGCCACACAGAAGGGAAATATGTCAAGTTACTTTATTACTTTTTTTTTGTGAGGAAGCTTGGCCATGAGCTAACACCCATTGCCAATCTTCCTCTTTTTGCTGAGGAAGATTAGCCCTGAGCTAACATCTGTTGCCAACCCTCCTTTTTGCTGAGGAAGATTGGCTCTGAGCTAAAATCCGTGCCCATCTTCCTCTATTTTGTATATGGGATGCCTCCACAGCATGGCTTGATAAGCGGTGCATCAGTCCGTGCCTGGGATCCGAACCTGCGAACCCCAGACCACTGAAGCAGAGCATGTGAACTTAACCACTACGCCACCGGGCCGGCCCTGTCAAGTTACTTTAAACCACAGTCATTTGACTACACATTCCTAGTGAGATACACCTGGACTAAAATTCCTGCAAGAAAAATGTCCAACAGTTTTCAGTAATTCTATTATTGCTGGCCATGTTGGTACCGTTATTCTGAAACTGTGGAGTATGTGTGTGATGTGGGATAAAGCAAATGAGAAATTATGTGATATTCTATCATCCCTTTATCCTTAAAAAAGAAAATACTGTCTATCTATTTAAAAGGCCTAAAAACAATGACCAACCCAGTAGCAATGAGTACTCCTAGCACCAATTCAGGGAGAATTGGAGAAACCAATTCTCCCTGAAGAAATGACCATTGCCAGGTCAGAAACATCTGGTCATCCGGGATAGCGAGGAAGCCATCAAAGACCCCCGGGAATATAAAGGCTCCAGGAGCCAACCAGAAGAGGGTCCCCCCGACAAAGATGGGGGAATTAGAGCACCAATAACAACTCCAATGAATTAAAGCACACCAAATGTATTTAAATCCATGTGTTAATAATAAGGACACTAAAAAAAGATTTCAAAAACCAAAAACAAAGTGGTCACCACTGTACAGAGCTAGGGAAACAAGTCATTATTTTCACAACTGGTCAATAAAGAAAAAAATCAAGCATTTATCTTTTATTTTTTTTTTTTAAGATTTTTATTTTTTTCCCCAAAGCCCCAGTAGATAGTTGTATGTCACAGCTGCACATCCTTCTAGTTGCTGTATGTGGGACGCGGCCTCAGCATGGCCAGAGAAGCGGTGTGTCGGTGCGCGCCCGGGATCTGAACCCAGGCCGCCAGCAGCGGAGCGCGCGCACTTAACCGCTAAGCCATGGGGCCGGCCCCTCAAGCATTTATCTTGCTTTTCCCATATTAACTGTGCCACTGGATAACCAAATAGATGAGTTTCTCTTTATAAAGTTATTTCAAAGTAAATAAGTTAAAAAAATTGATAAAATTAGAATATCATTTTCCAAACCTTGATGAATTAATGGATCTATGCATTGATTATCAATAGTTGTGAACACTACAAAAAGAAACAGGATAAGCCATCTGATGGATGGACATATGAATGTCTTGTGACCCATCCCCCCCCCAAAAAAGACAGGAAAGAATGAAGTGGAATCTGATCAAGCTTCTAGATTCAACAACAGCTTTTTTTCAGTATTTATTTATAGGAAATAAAGTTCAGAGGAACATGTTCAACTACACCACAGAGATACAATCAGCAAAGTCCAGAATGTGGGAGACCAGAGGATATGCAACCTTGTTTCTTGAACACATTTCAAGGGTATGTATGGGGGGAGTGTAGATCCTGTAGATTGAAAACAGACACAACTACAATGAGATACCACTCAGCACCTACTAGGATGGCTATGATCAAAATGACATAAGTGTTGGCCAGGATGTGGACAAACTGGAACCTCACACGCCGCTGGTGGGAATGTAAAATGGTGCAGCTGCTTTGGACAACAGTCTGGCAGTTCCTCAAAAGATCAAACATAGAGTTACCATAAGACCCAGCAATTCCACTTTTAGGTATAGACCCAAGAGAAATGAAAACATACGTCCACACAAAAACTTGAACATGAATAATCACAGCAGCATTATTCATAATAGCCAAAAAGTGGAAGCAACCCAAATCTCCATCAGCTGATGAATGGATAAAGAAAATGTGGTCTATCCACAAAGTGGAATAGTATTCAGCAATAAAAAGGAGTGAAGTACTGACACACACTACAATCTGGATGAATCTGGAAAACATTATGCTGACTGAAAGAAGCCAGACACAAGGCCACATATTGCATGATTCCATTTATATAAAATGTCAAGAATAGGCAAATCCATAGAGACAAAAAGCAGGTTAGTGATAGCCAGGGGACAGGTGGAAGGGAAGATTGGGGGCAACTGTTAATGGATAGAGAGTTTCTTTCTGGGGTAATGAAAAAGCTCTAAAATTGATTGTAGTGATATTTGCACAATTCTGAATAAAGTAAATACCACTGAGTTACATCCTTTATACAGGTTAATTGCACGGTATGTGAATTCTATCTCAAGAAAGCTGTTACCAAAAAAAAAGATAAAAAAATCTCAATAAATGGATATTTGGCTTCTGCTCAGTTAAACAAATGAACGACATATGAGACAATTAGAAAGGTGAACTCTGGATATTTAATGACATAAAGGAGTTATTATTATTTTTTTTAATTTTTATTTATTCTTTTCCCCCAAAGCCCCAGTAGATAGTTGTATGTCATAGTTGCACAGCCTCCTAGTTGCTGTTTGTGGGACGCGGCCTCAGCATAGCGGGAGAAGCGGTACGTTGGTGCACGCCTGGGATCCGAACCTGGGCCACCAGCAGCGGAGCGTGCGCACTTAACCGCTAAGCCACGGGGCCGGCCCTGAAGGAGTTATTAAATGTTAAGATGTGATAAGGATATTGGGCTTATGTTTATTTTTCACTTTTAGCAACACATACGGAAATATTTACAGCTGAACTGAGAAAGTGTATGGGATTTGCTTCAGAACCCAGGAGGGGAGACAGGTGGAGGTGTAGACAGAACAAGATCAGCCACAACTGATCCGTGGTGAAGCGGGATAGGCCTGCATCTGTGTTCATTTTACTATTCTATTTTTATGTTGAAAAAATTATATGCATTATATAGTTAAGTCTCTAATTACATTTTTTTAAAAAAAAATCACACATTTCCACTCTGTTCTTAAGGCAGCTTAGTTTAATTTTATAGAAGAAATACTCTCAAACAATAAAAATTACACAGAGAGACAAAAACAGAGATGAATACTGATTGTAACTTATTCCCACAACAGAAGCTTACTCATTTTGGCGGTGACGATTGAGTGATCAGATGAAGTGAAGACCCAATTCCCTTTTACTAGGTGTACTGTTTCTAAAGAACCCTGGTGGCAGATTTTGGATCATCCCTAGACTACAATTGCTGACAAAACACGGCAGAGTTTTCTTATCACGAGGCACAATTATGGACAAATTTAAACCTAAGATGAAAACACCCCTTAAGACGATAGGACTTCACTTTTTTGATGGGTGGGATATTTTCCGGGGGGGCGGCGGGGGGTGGTGGCAGTCTTAACTAGTCAGAAGCAGCAAAATCAAGTCATGAATGAGAAGCTGATGAGGGTGTTTCGAGTCCTCCTGCCTGCTCGGTGGCCTCCATCGCTGTCCACGTGCCCTTTCCGGCATGGACAGCGAGCAGCACAGAAGCCACCCCTCTCCCTCCGTCATCTGTCTGGCTTTTCTTTCCTTGCTTACTATGGTCCCGTTCAGGTGCAAGAGCAGACACACGCGGGGAGGCAGAAGTAAGTCGGAAAGGTGGCAACACAAGCACTCCTTGGACTGCTACCAAAGCAGGGGCTGCATTTGTTTCTGGTGAGGCAAAGGTGGGATTTTTTTTTAAACCCTGGGGTGGGGAAGCACTCCAAACAGAAATCTGTATATACTGGGCAGTGAACTGTATTTGAAAACCCACAGTGGGTTTTCCCCACATTGCTACTTAATAGGGGTTGCCAGAAGAGTTGCCTCAGCCCACCAACCCACTTAGAGAGCTTCAGGTGGCCGCTGTTCAAAAGCAGCGCCCAGACACTGCGTCCAGGGGACTCGCCCACGTCCAGCGAGCCGTGCACCTGAGACATAACTGACCTGCCCTCCACACCCCCCGAGGCCAGCAGCAGACAGGTCTTCCTCGGAGTGTAACGTTTCAACAGCTGGGGCACGAGAGGGCCTGCCACTGTCTCCACCTGCTCAGCGATGCTGCCTGCTGCAGCGCGGTTCTGGCAAGGCCCGACGTTTTGTGTTTCCACCTTTGTTGTGGGTATGTACACAGAGAAATTACAAAAACAAAAGCAAGACTAGAAGCAGAAATACATAGCAAGAGATGACAGCAGTGCAAAAGCGTCAAGTTTTCCGTCTTACCACCACTGACAAATTCCACTGTCTGTGATAGGTCGCGTGTCAATGAAAGGCTTCTACAAAATTCATTTTGAATAAATGTAAAAGGGAAGGCGGGTTATGCAAGGGGGACGGTTACGGACTAATGAGAAGAGGGATGCTGATTAAAGGGGGGCATTTCCAAGGGAGGGGCAGAAAGATCTAGAAGAGAGAGTTCTTTTCTTTTACATTTTGTGTGACCACCTCGTTTACTTCTCTGAGGCCTCATAAAGGAGAGTGCATTTCATATATAATAAATACGTATTAGGCAAATATTTATATCATTTGGCATTTTAAAAGAATAATGGTATATTTTTATTACATAAAAAAATTTTTCCTCATGAACTAGTTCTAAGATTTCTTAAGAAATATTGGGTAAAGTATAGGGGGGGCATTCTGATTTAAATCAAATACTCTCCCGTAAGTGACTCGCTGGGTAATTCTAGTTACCCACACATGCTTCCTTCTACAAACAAGTGCCTTCAAACTTTACCATGTCTATGTCGTAACCACCATATCCATCAGCGGATTCACTGGTTCACTGAAAATGCACATTCCTAGTCCTCTTCTCACTGTCCTTCAGGACAGAGCAGTGGAGCAGGAGTTCCACCACCACCCTCCCTGTGGGTCATGAGCAGATGGCGTGGACTCAAAGGCGGGGCTGCCCGAGGTCTGGTGAAGGCGGGCAGTGTGGGCAGCCACCGTGGACAGGCTGGCGAAAGCCCAGGACAAGGGGGGCTCTGTGGTCTGCTTCAGACTCATGGTGAGCACAGAAAGACGCGTGATAAGACAACACAGAAATGAGAGGCTGTCAGTGCACGGCCCACACAGGAGACGGAGCTCGGTGCCGCACACACGGCCTGTGAACTATGACTGAACCACTGCAGATGTATCTCAACAGAACACAAAGAGCGTGCAAGTGTACAACATACATGATGAATGCACGTATGCAAACCTGACACGAGTGAGGAACGTAGCACACAGTGTTTGCATTTCGGGTGTCAGAAACAAAACCAACCCCAAAGTTCCATTCTACCGCATGGCAAATACTGAAGAACAAAATTTCAGTCTTAAAATACATCTTAAAGTCAGTATTTTCCTTCAAGGAAAAAAAGTACTATAAATAAATTACAATACAGTGAATTTGCCTGAACTCACTTCGTTTCTGTCTTCCAGCCTTTAAGTCAAATAAAACAGCAAAAAAACTGTACACTCTTAACATGATAGTTCATCTTTTATAAAATAACCTGTCTTCAGAGATGTCAATTTCACAACAAGGGAAAACCAAGCCCTGTTGCCGTCACTATTATAAAATATATATGTATAGATAGATGTGTTTTTTTTTTTTTTTTTTACAAAATGTGTATATTAATAGCTTTGCACAAATATTTTAAAGACAAATTTAGCTAGTCTAAGAACTTCATGAAAATAAAACAGGCAGATAAATACTTCATGTGTACAAAGCACGACATCAAACGTCGTCGGCGGGCAGAGGAGGTACATTAATCCTTGGTCTCGTAAAAAATGCTATCTTCTCCCTGGGATTGGAAAGAATGACAGGTTAGAAGCTGATATAAATGTAGTGAAAGCTGGTGGGAGGCTCTCATATCAATGAGAGCTTTTCTTACAATTGGATTTCAGTCCCTAACAACACACCTGTTTGTATACAGATCCTCTAAATTTTAACAGAAGTTATGAAGCCCCATGCAGGCAAGGGTTTGTCTGTCTCCAGTGCCTAGAACACTGCCTGGTATACAGTAGATGCTCAGTAAATATTTGCTTTATTAATAAATGAATGAAATGAAAATAAATGAATATATAAACGTATATAAATGAAGGAGTTCTAAATCATAATTGAAGGAAGATGTTATCGTGTTTTATGTTCATTTATGATACAGACGTGAAAATTCAGGGTATAAAACAATTAAGGCTAGGCCTTGTGGCTTAGCAGTTAAGTGCACCCGCTCTGCTGCTGGTGGCCCGGGTTTGGATCCCCGGTGCGCACCGACGCACCGCTTCTCTGGCCATGCTGAGGCCGCGTCCCACATACAGCAACTAGAAGGATGTGCAGCTATGACACACAACTATCTACTGGGGCTTTGGGGGGAAAAAAAATAAATAAAATTATAAAAAAAAAAAAAACAAAAATAAACAAAAAACAATTAAGGCTAAAAGTCACGCACATATCATTCAGCCATAAAAAGGAATGAAGTTCTGGGGCCAGCCCAATGACGTAGTGGTTAAGTTCACATGCTCTGCTTCGGCAGCCCGGGATTCAGAGGTTCAGATCCCAGGTGCAGACCTATATCCGCTTATCAAGCCATGCTGTCGCAGGCGTCCCACATATAAAATAGAGGGAGATGGGCATAGCTGTTTGCTCAGGGCAAATCTTCCTCACCAAAAAAAAAAAAAAAAAAAAAGGAATGAAATTCTGACACACACTACAACATGGATGAACCTCAAAAACATTATGCTAAGCGAAAGAAGCCAGACACAAAAGACCACATACTGATGACTCCACTTACGTGAAATGTCCAGTATTGGCAAAGCCACAGAGCCAGAAAGCAGGTTGGTGGCTGCCAGGGGCTGGGGGCGGGTGGAGTGGGGAGTGACTGCTTAATGGGTATGGGGTTTCCTTTTGGGGTGATGGAAATGTTTAGAAACTAGATAAAGGTGGTGGTTGCATAACACTGTGACTGTACTAAATGCCACGGAATTGTTCACTTTAAAATGGTTAATTTTATGCTACGTGAATTTCACCTCAATTTTTTAAAAAGTCAGACCCAAAAGAATATAGGTATAACTATGTAATTCTCCTCATATAAGAAGCAAAAACAGGAAAAACTAATCTATGCTATTCAAATTCAAGACTGTGGTTACTCTAGGGTGGAAAATCTGGGGTTGCTGATAATGTTGGATGCTTGCCATGTAGAGTTTGTGACGATTCACTGAACTATTATATACATATGATACGCACATTTTCCTGTATGTATAGTATGCTTCAGTCAAAAGTTAACTAAAAAGGCAAAGGTGATGTGTGTATGTGTATGTGTGTGTGTATGTAAGTCACTGTGCTGTTTACAACAGCAAACATTTGGAAAGAAGCAGGTTATAAAATAGTCAGGTAAACTGTATCTATTAGATGAGACTTTATAGCCAAAAAAGGTAACAGATCATGTGGCAACACAGGATATTTTAACTTAAAAAAAGCTAAATGCAAAATTGAACCTACATTATGATTACAAGTAGCACTTTGAAAAAAAACAGTGCCTAGGAAAAAAAGATAAGAAAACATCAAAATGCTAATAGCAGTGGGGATTCTTGTTTTGTTCTCAACTTCCTGTGGGTTTGTGTCAATCCTTCCTTCAGTTTTCGTAATGATAAAGGAGTGACAGGAAAAAGAAAGCAGGACAGCAAGGCCTGCGGCTTCCCTTTCTCCCTACCTGAAGGTCTGCACCTGGATGGGCTCTTTGTGGTTCTGCCCGCGCAGCTGGCAGATCCCTCTGGAGGCCTTCTTTAGCATCTTCTCAGCTGCCTGTTCTTGATGGAAGTCGAGTTTGGTCTGTCTTGTCTGGAACAGCAACATTGGATAAACAAAACGTTTTTACTTCTAGTTTTAAGGAAGAATGAAGCCACTCCCAGCTCTGGGGACCCAGAGGGGAGAGAGGCCCACCCCATCCACTCCCCCCAGGGAATCTTCACAGGAGCTACTCGGGGTCACTGGGGTCCTGCCTCACAGACAGGGCACCCAGGGAGCGAGGAACGGGGATTCTGGCAGCAGGGCCAGGGATTCCTTCCTCCAGCCCCCGCGCCCCCACCCCCTGGCCCAGGCACCTCAAAGCCTCACGATGTGTGTTGGTGCCACCTCGCAGACCAGGTGCCTGGCCCATGGAGGAAGAAACCCAGCTCCTTGAGATGAGCGCTTGGATCGTTTACATTACAGTTTTATCATCTGAAATGCTTACTTCAGAATCCAAGAGCACTGGGGCAAAGGGCAGTGACCGTGACCAGGCAGACGTGGGAAGCCAAAGGGACCGTGAAGCAGGCCCCGGGCCTCTTACCTGCCTCTCGGCTTCCTTCAGCAGCCTCCGGAATCGCTCATCCCGCAGCACCCAGTGCGGGAGGTCGGTCTGACCTCGGAGCTGGGCGTCTTCTAACCGCTGCCTCAGTTCTCGAAGGGTGCAGATCTCCTCGTTCAGCTGCCTCTGCCGCGTTCTCGACGCCTGGAGATCCAGCTCCAGGTCCAGGGAGGTGCGGGCCATGAGCTCGGCCAAGGAGGACCTGCAGGACTGCAGGAGACAGCAGCAGTGAACACACACACTAACCAGGCATCTGGATGCCACGTGGCTGGCAAGCTCAGGCCTTCTAGAAGGTTCTTCCACAATTAATGGAAGACGGGGCAATCACAGTTATTGGAGAGGTGTTTTTCTACACACGGCCTGATGTTAAAAAAACATAGATTTGGGCAAGATTAATTTAAATCTCCAGTTCAATATCAAGTTAGTGACAACAAATTGTTTTCTTTAATGATAACCTATATGTTTGCAAAAGTATAAAGAAATAGACCCTCTCATATGGGGCTGGCACGATCAAAAATGGGCATAATCTTCCTGAAGTACTATTTGACAATATACATCAAAAGCCAAAAAATGTGCATTTTCTTTGGTTCTGAAATTTCATTTTGACTTACATTTGAAAGGCACAACTGATGATGTGCGAAAGTGATCCAACTAAGGTTTATAACAGAAAAAAGCCAAAATATATAACAAGAGGAAACTGACTAAATAAATTACAAGGCCAGCATAAAATCCATCCATTGTACACAGTTGAAAAAATATATTGACATGGAAAATCTTAAATGATCCACTGTATAAGGGGGAAAAAGCACATCATAAACTATGAGTGTTCTTTGTTTAAAAAATTATACATACACACCCATGCAGGTGCGCACACACACGCAAGCTGTCAAACACTCTCCTCCCTCTATAAGCCTCAAGTAACCAAATCTGCTGTTTTCAAGAAAAGTCCTAAGACAAGGAAAGAATTTTGTATGCGGAGCTGAGAGCAGTACTTCCCACCCAATGGGAAACCACCCTGGGAATGGCAGTTAGTGCAGCAAAATCACAAATCCATGGGCACATCAGCATGTGCAGTGGACTGAATAACTGTATGCTTTTTACACACACGTAACACTATTCTGCACATACACAGAATTTAAATGCAAATATATGATGTGACTTAATAAATACGAATTCATTTAAAAGCACTGCTGAATTCACAGCAGAGCTCAGCGGTTCTCAACCAGGGGTGACTTGGCCCCCCAGGGGACACCTGGCAATGCCTGGAGACATTTTTGGTTGTCACAACTAGGGGGAGGGGTACCACTGACAACTAGCGGGTCAAGGCTAGGGATGCAGCTCAACATCCTCCAGTTCACAGTCCAAAATGTCAACAGTGTTGCTACTGAGAAATAACTTCTGCAGCTGAATTATGTATTTTCTTACCATTCTCAGTCAGCAGCTGCTCTAGATAAAACCACCACATGGAAATCTTTAAAAGAATCCTTGCTACAAACTAAAAGCAGCAAAGCTTTCTAAATTGGTGTGATGTGCAGAAAAAACTTGGTGGGTAAAGGAAATGAAAACCTAGAACAATCCTATGTAGAAGAATGCTCTATGTTGAAAAATTTAAATTCTCTAAACTTTACATACTCCTCTGTCAAAAAAGAAAAAAAAAATTTCTTATGTAGAATGGTTGACTGTTGGGCCGGCCCCGTGGCTTAGCAGTTAAGTGCGGGAGCTCCACTGCTGGCGGCCCGGGTTCGGATCCCGGGTGTGCACCGACGCACCGCTTCTCTGGCCATGCTGGGGCCGTGTCCCACATACAGCAACTAGAAGCAGCTATGACATACAACTATCTACTGGGGTTTTGGGGGGAAAAAATAAATAAATAAAATCTTTAAAGAAAAAAAAAAAAAGAATGGTTGACTGTTTATTTTTATATATTTTATTAATTTATTAAGTTTGTATATGTAAAGATCATGAATTATCTTAGATCATGACATTATCTCGGGAAATTAAGAAATATTGGTAACATTTGACATCATATGTGCTTTTAAAATTATACCTAAGAAGGAAATAAATATACTACCTTTTAATTAATATTACCTAAAATATTATTGTATAAAAACAACTCCCAGGGTAAGTATGGATTGCATATTAGTTTATGTGGCACACACCTGCTTGTAGCGAAGGGTTCGTCTTTCCAAAGTGTTTCGGACAAAGGGGGACTTCCGGGGCAGTGTTGAACTGTCGCTGTCACTACGATAAAGCTGCACCAAAAAGAATGATGTTCAGAAGCACTTTCTCAGAAATTCAATATTCATTCTCCCTGTGTACTCTGAATTGGACCATTTCGTTTCTCCTCACAGGTACTCAAACGCACTTAGGACTGTCAGCGCTTTTACCAAGACTTCTGGTTTCAGTTAAGACAAAACCTACACAGGAGTTTCAAGTAAATTGAAAGACAAAAAAAACAAACCAAAGAAACAAACCAACCCCACACCCTCCTTCATGCTTATCAATCAAACCATGTGATGCTTCCAGGCTAATGGAGTCTACAAAATGCCTGTCCTGTCAATACTAACTGCGTCCTGGGCCGGCCCTATGGCTTAGCGGTTAAGTGAGCACGCTCCACTGCTGGCGGCCCGGGTTTGGATCCCGGGCGCGCACCGACACACTGCTTCTCCGGCCATGCTGAGGCCGTGTCCCACATACAGCAACTGGAAGGACGTGCAACTATGACATACAACTATCTACTGGGGCTTTGGGGGAAAAAAATGAATAAATAAAATTATTAAAAAAAAAAAAAATACTAACTGCGTCCTGATAATGTGCATGATGCTCAAGAAGGCCACCACTGTCCTCGGCGCTTTTCACTTGTTATCAGTCATTCTCATTTGCTCTATTTCTGGCTTTGGCAAGAGCTGGGAAAAAACGGCTTTCCAAAAACAGAGACTCGTTCCCGGTAGTAGGACAAGCCAGTACCACTGACACCCACTCTGCCAGTCAGGGGAAAAGGTCTGCTTTTATTTGTTTTTGTGAGGAAGATCAACCCTGTGCTAACATCTGCCAATCCTCCTCTTTTTTTTTTTTGCTGAGGAAGACTGGCCCTGGGCTAACATCCGTGCCTCATCTTCCTTCACTTTATATGGGACGCTGCCACAGCATGGCTTGCCAAGCGGTGCATCGGTGTGCGCCCAGGATCCGAACCGGTGAACCCTGGGCCGCCTCAGCAGAACGCACGCACTTAACCGCTTGTGCCACCGGGCCGGCCCCGAAAAGGTCTGCTTTTAAAAACAAAAATAAATAATGCCTTCTTCATGGGAGCTAAGACAGTACGGATTTCATTTGGTGGTGGGTTCTCGCTTCAGGATCAATGTGTATCTGTGTGAAAACCAAACTCCTTGCCTTCATGGCCTTATTTTCCATGCCAATTAACCCAAAATACTCAGGAAAGGCCCTGGGACAGCAGTTTACATGCCCCCCGATCACTATACACATATATACAAACAAAGAGGCCGCTAAAAGCGTCGCCAGTAAATGCATGCTTTCATGCAGGGTGCAGAACACAGCACATGAGCTGGAGCCCTTTCTCTGGGGAGTGAAGCATTTCCTCCCTTACCACCCTATCCTATTCAATAAGCAGGCTTGACTCTGCTCCGAGGTGGTTTGGTAAGAGTCTAGAATAAGGAACGGACGCGAGGACGGTCCTGGATCTAGTACCTTGACGTGTTCGGTTAAGCATCAGCCCCCACAGGGCTGCAGCCTGATGGGGTGGGAGGGCCCGGGCCTGACCCTGTCCTACCCAGGACAGCCTCGACTCGGACACCTCGCTTCTGTGGGGAGAAGAGCAGCAGGGCTCGAAAATGGCAGAAAGGTGGCTTGGGCCACCGAGGCCTCAACCCCCGCTGTTCACTCCTGTGCAGTAAAGGATTAACCTTGCCCCAAGAAAGGTTTGGTCCTTGCCCAGCTCCTGGGACGTGACCCTGGAATGTCCTGCCTAAGTGTCTTTGTTTACCTGGGGACCTCGGGCCAGGCCACACGGTCTCTGCTAACAATGTGATTTATGGGGGGGCCCTGGGCCATCAGCTTGACCTCTAGGGGGGCTGGAGACTAGAGTCAGCCATGCAGGCAATCAGCTATACTACATGACCAACCCCACAAAAAGCCTGCACACCAAGGCTCTGGTGAGCTTCCCTGTCGGCAATACTCCATGACTGTTGTCACTCGTCACTCCCGGGACAGGTAAGAGCTGTCCACACAACCCCACTGGAAGAGAACAGCTGGAAGCTCACGCCTGGTCTCTCCTGAATGCTGCCCTACACGCCTCTTCCCTCTGCTGACTTTGGTCTGTATCCTGTCACTGTAATAAACCATGATGGTGAATATAACGGCTTTTCTGTGAGTCCTAGCAAATTACTGAACCCAAGCGTGGGCCCAGGGACCCTGCACCGCACTCCTGATGTCTCCTGCACGGATATGAGGGTCTGTTTCTCTTGTATGATCTAACTCTGGCTTTGCCCTAACGGAGCCAGCTCCTTCGCAGCCTCTTCAAGGGAAGGTGCTTTCTTCAACAAGCCCCATTCAGAGATGGGAAAGGTCAAAGTTCTTCTCAATCCAAACAGTCCCTCCAGGCCACTGTGTCATGACCACTTATCCTTAAAATTCCCTTCTCTATCCTCATCTGTGCTGCCACTGTCACACTGCCACTGCCTGCCAACATGCTGCCCTATCTTCAAAGACCACAGCGGGTTAGGTCTCCCTCTCTACCTATCTCAGGGTTCTCAACATTAGAATCATCTGGGAGCATCCCAAAACTCTGATGTTCAGCCCCACATGTAACCAGTGATGAATCCTGGGGGTGGAACCCAGGCACCAGCATTTTGTGAAGCCCCCCCAAAGTGACTTGACTGCAAGGTGCAGCCAAGGTTGAGAACCACTCAGCACCTCCTGCTGTCACCCTCGGGGTGAGAATTTACAAGTAGGGGAGTCAGAACCCACTGTCTCAGCACCTCAAGTCTTCAAGGCTGCTGTCTTCCCTGGGACCCCTAATAGAGCCACACTACAGGACTTCTAACCACTCAGTCACCTGACTTCCCAATCTCAACCCAATTCAAGATATTCCCTGTTCCAACTTGTTAGTCCCTAGATTGATGTAGAAATGATGCCCTCTGCTTCCTGACCCCAATTTGCTGCACATGCAGGCACACTTCAGAGGTATTGCAGGTTCGGTTCCAGATCACCACAATAAAGTGAGTTACATGAATTTTTTGGTTTCCTGGTGCATGTAAAAGTTGTGTTTACACTATACCGTGGTCTATTAAGTGTGCAATAGCATTATGTCTAAAAAAACAATGTACATACTGTAATTAAAAAATAATTTTTGCTAAAAAATGCTAACCATCACCAGAGCCTTCAGCGAGTCATAACCTTTTTGCTGGTGGAGGGTCTTGTAAAAAATACAATTATCTGCAAAGCACAATAAAACGAGGTATGCCTCTACAACACTGAAGATCTGGGGAGAAATGTATTAGAATCCTGAAGAAATCCAGAGTCAGATGTGCACGGGGTGAGGGGGGGATGAAACCACGCTGATTCCACATCCACACATGCGTGATGCTCATTTCTTGTATTATTTGCGAAAACACATGTCTTTCAGCATAAATAGTAAAAAATAGAACACGACAAAGGGGGAAAAAAGAAAATATTCCAGACAGTGGCAAAGGAATTCCAACTTACTCTGCAAACATACTGACTTCGTGCTCCGGGCGAGAAAGTCTGTGAACGGACAATTGTGCTACTCCGAACGAACGGCGCCCCGCGGGCTCTCCGGCTGGGCCTCTCCTTCGGAAGACTCGCTACTTCTTCTGGGAAAAGATCTTCCGTGTTGGTTTCCTTATCAACCTAGACAGTAGTTCATTATTACCATGACTGTTTCTAGAACATAAGCAACAAACTTCACATGAACCGTCCTTGCCTTCTCCACCTGGAGTTCTAACCGGCATTTCACACTTACGTCCAAAACTGAATTTCTGATGTTCCCTGCCCCCACACACCCCTCCTCCTCTTACAAGGATCTCTACTTTCCATTTGTTTACACGAAAAAAATTTTCGTGTCATCCGGGACTCTGCTCTCGTTCCCATTCCCCATCCCCCGTCCAAGATCAAATCCTGTTGGCTCCATGTTTGAGATGAAGCATGTTTTGACCACTTGTCACCAACCCTCCATCTGAGTCACCATCATCTCGTGCCCGATTAGCACAGTAGGCTTCTCACCCGTCTCCTCAGCTCCACACCTCCTCCCCACTTCAATCTCTCCTCAACACAGCAACGAGGCAGATCCTGGTGAAACTGAAGTTAGAACTGGCAATTCTACTCCTAGGCATATGCCCAAGAGAACTGAAAACAGGTGTTCAAACAAGTACTTGCACATGAATGTTCACAGTAGCATTATTCCATCAGCCAAAAGGTGGAGACAGCCTACATGTCCATGTATGGATGAATGAATAATAAAAATGCAGCATACCAATGCAAGGGAATACTACTTAGCCATGAAATGGAGTAAAGTTCTGACACATGCTACAGTGTGGATGAACCTTGAAAAGATCCTGGTGAGTGCAAGAAGCCAGACACAAAAGGCTACATACTTATGATTCCATTTACATGAAACATCCAAAATAGGCAAATGCATGGAGACAGAAAGCAGACTGGTGGTTGCAGGGGCTAGGGGAGAGGGGATGGGGAGTGACTGTTCAGGGGTGCAGGGTTTTACTTGGGGGTGATGAAAATGTTTTAGAACTAGACTGAGGTGGTGGTTGCACAAAACTGTGAAGGCACTAAACGCCCCTGAACTATTCGCTTTGAGATGGTTCATTTCATTTTATGTGAATTTCATGTCAAAAAATTATTTTAGGGGAAAAAAAAATCAACAAAAAGCCTTAAGTCAGATCACCCCAGGGCTCAAAACCATCCACCAGTTTCCCAACCACCTCAGAGAAAACTGAGAGTCCCTAATGGGCTCTATACAACTAGCTCCTTCACTCCTCTGTCCTCAGCCCTGACTCCCCGACCCATGCTGCCCTCAAGGCGGTTCTCTCGCCAGCCCCCCACTCCCCCCCCCCCGCACTTGCAGCTCCCTATACCTGAACGCTCTTCCCCAGCGCCGCGCAAGGCTCCCTGAGCCTCCTTCCTTAAGGCCTCTACTCAAAAATCGCCTTCTCGGGCCGGCTCCGTGGCATAGAGGTTAAGTGCGCGCGCTCTGCTGCTGGTGGCCAGGGTTCGGATCCCGAGCATGCACTGACGCACCGCTTGTCAGGCCATGCTGTGGCGGCGTCCCATATAAAGTAGAGGAAGATGGGCAGGGATGTTAGCCCAGGGCCAGTCTTCCTCAGCAAAAAGAGGAGGATTGGTATGGATGTTAGCTCAGGGCTGATCTTCCTCACACACACACACAAATCGCCTTCTCGGGGAGGCTTCTATGACCTTTCTTTTTTATTGTAAAAAAACACATAACATAAAATTTACCATCTTAACCCTTTTCAGTGTACAGTTCGGTAGTGTTAAATATATTCACACTACTGTGAAACAAATCTCTAGAACTTTATCTTCCCAAACTGACACTCTGTCCCCATTAAACAGCAACTCCCCATTCCTCCCCTCCCCCAGCCCCTGGCATGCAACCTTCTACTCCGTCTCTATGCATCTGATTATGCTAGGGACCTCATTTAAGTGGAATCATACAGTATTTGTCCTTCTTTGACTGGCTTAGTTCACTTAGCACAATGTCTTCTTCAAGATTCATCCATGTTGTAGTATGTGACACGCTTTCCCTCCTTTTAAGGCTGGATAATATTCCACTGCGCGGGTAGACCACACTTTCTCTACCCATTCACCCATCAATGGCCATCCGGGCTGCTTCTGCCTCTTGGCTTTTGTGAATAATGCTGCTATGAACATGGGTGTGCAAATACCTCGTGGAGACCCTACTTTCAATTCTTTTGGGTATATATCCAGAAGTGGGATTGCTGGATCATATGGCAGTTCTATTTTAAATTTTTTGAACAACCTCCATACTGTTTTCCATAGAAACTGTTCCATTTTACAATCCTGATCTTTCTAAAATATAAATGCAAATTTATATTTCTAAATGGAAACCGTTTCTAAAATGGTACATCTTTCTAAAAATGCAAACCCCGCTTCTCCACCATCTCATCCTCCGGCAGCCCCTCTACCTCAGACACTGTTGTATTTGACTGATCGACTCTCTATTGCCTGCCTCCCCCCGAGGGCAGGACTTTCCATTTATTTTCTTCGCCGTTGCATCTGCAACGCCTAGCACCTACCCCCACACACACACGGAAAGAGGATGTAGACGTGGTGAAGAACTAACAATTGGGGAATCCAGGCGAAGGGTATAGGAGTATTAGTTGTATTATTCTAGCAACTTTTCGGTATATTTGAAGTGTTTCAAAATTAAAATTTGGGGCGAGCAGGACACACTAAAGCAGCCTCCCACAGCCACTCCCCCTGATTTGGGCCGATGCTTTTCAAGGTCTTAGAAAGCCGAACAACGGCAACTGCTGGCAGCCTTGTCCAGAACAACTCCCCTGGAGGTGCTTCGTGCGCTGCACTTGGGGAGCTGCCGAGGGGGCGGGTTTCACTTCTCTCAGTACTTGCGTTTTGGGGTGAGAGCAGGGGCCATGGTGATAAAATGTGATGAGTTAAACAGTTTGAGGACAAAGTTTCAATAGAGCATTGATTCAGTGTCTCCCAACCTCACTGGGTTCCTGAGACATTTATCACTGCAAACATGAAAGATTTCCTCACTGAAGATATGGTGACGAGCACAACTGAGATCAGGTGAACAGAAGGGCCAAAAGGTCGCCTTGCTGTGCTTAACATCACAGAGGGAGACAAGAAGCTACAAGCACCTAATACCTTGGGACGCAGGAACATCCTGTGCCGTACGTGGCCCCAAAGATGGGAATGGATCATCACTGGATGGCATATGAAGGAGTAAAAATCTACCCTTTTTAGTTGTAGTTATCCTTTCTTTCTTTTTTTTTTGTGAGGAAGATCAGCCCTAAGCTAACATCCATGCTAATCCTCCTCTATTTGCTGAGGAAGACCGGCTCTGAGCTAACATCTATTGCCAATCCTCCTCCTTTTATTTTCCCCAAAGCCCCAGTAGATAGTTGTATGTCATAGTTGCACATCCTTCTAGTTGCTGTATGTGGGACGCGGCCTCAGCATGGCCGGAGAAGTGGTGCATCGGTGCATGCCTGGAATCTGAACCCGGGCTGCCAGTAGTGGAGCGCGTGCACTTAACCGCTAAGCCACGGGGCCGGCCCATGTCCTTTCTTTCAATTGAAAGTTGACAGACCTCTCTACGGTACCTGCTGTGCCCGTCTCAAGCCGTTTACAGATCTAAGGCCAGTCACTTCTTTTCCTCGGCTCTTGGTAAAATACGGCCTTAGCTATCCTGCCCTAATCCAAAAGCACGGTCCATTTTATACCACGCCTTCCCCACAGCCACTGTCCCCTGGTGTGTCTATAAGGAAGCCATGTTGTCCCACCCGTGGGTATGAGCCTGTCAGCTTCCGTGTCCCTTAGTCCCTCTCCTCCGCCCATTCCCTCACATGTCACATGGAGGATGTGGGACACACGCTCTCCCTCCTGGTGTTGTGTGGCAAAATGTCAGGGGCTCCATAAAACCCCTTGACCTTTCCTACTTACCTTAAGGGGTGGGGGCTGGAGCTTCTCGGGGCTGTAAGGATCTGTCTGGCCAGCAAACGTGTGTCCGTGGATGGAGTCGACACCAACGCAACAGGGCTCTGGGTGCGGGGGGCTGGTCTGGGTGCAGCTGCTACAGCCACTGTCGACTGAGTCGGCTTGCCAGCTCCTAAAGCAGACATTGCCCAAGGCCACACAATGTGCACCAAGGGACTGAGTTCACCGCTGCCCCCAGAGCACAGCAGCGGAGGTTGCCAATAGGACCTATTTGCTTCCAACGACTGAAGACGGGTGCTTTCCTCATAGTAAGAGGGCATTTACGTTACCCAGGGAAGACAACGCTACAAGGCCTTTCATGAAGGGGGTCTGTGTTTATCACCCAACGGCAGCTGCTACAGCTTCGAGAATCCTGAACCTCCTCCCTGAGGCCCTCCCAGCTCCCTGCCCGTCTCTGAGCCCAAACTCCCTTCCCCTCTGCCATGCACTTTCCCTCCCTAAAATAAATTCCTCTCTAAAATAAATCCAGGGAAAGCTATAGGAAGAAGCAGGACGCTCTGCAAATATGAAGCTCTTTATGGGAAACGTGGAAGTAAAGCAGTATGACAGGTATGACAGGACTTCTGGAAAGGATCAGATGGAAACCAATTCACTGCAGGAGCTTGCTCATCTGAATTACTCCTCTGCTGCAGCCAGGTCTACACTGAGTCAGGGATTCACCAATAGGCTGCTTCAGGAAAAACGTAAAGGGACACTGCATGCTTCCGTTTAGATGATCCAGAGAGACAGCAAGCAGATTAGCAGCTGCCAGGGGCTGAGGGAGGAGGAATGGGGGTGACCGCTAATGGGTATGGGGTTTCTTCTTGGCACGATGAAAATGCCCTAAAACTGTGTGATGGTGGTGGCACAACTCTGTGAGTGTACCAAAAACCACTGAGCTGTCCACCTCCAATGGGTGAACTGTATAGTAGGGAGATTATATCTCGATTAGGCTGTTTCAAAAAAAAAAAACAACATAAAGGGACCTTATTGTATTCAATCATGGCAGAGCAGAGTCACTGGACAGTCCCACTCTTTAAGAGACATTCTGGAATAGAAGCAAAAGGGAAAAAGTCTGCCCAGAGAGCTGGGGGACAAGGTCAAGGTACTGCCCTTGTCCAGATCAGCATTCAATTCCCCACAAGAATCCCAACTTCTGGGCAATGGTATTGAAGAATCACCCAGCACATTCTACAGAGGCATGGACGAGAAATGCAACTTGCACCCAAAGACCTCCGAAAGAGCCAGGGCCGACTAACACACTGGCCGCCTCCTCTCCAAGAAAATGTGCTTCATCTCCCTGGCACTTTTTTTTGTGTGTGTGTGAGGAGATCAGCCCTGTGCTAACATATGCCAATCCTCCTCTTTTTTTGCTGAGGAAGACTGGCCCTGGGCTAACATCCATGCCCATCTTCCTCTACTTTATATGGGACGCCGCCACAGCATGGCTTGACAAGCGGTGCGTCGGTGCACACCCGGGATGCGAACTGGAGAACCCCGGGCCGCCGCAGCGGAGCGCGCGCACTCAACTGCTTGCGCCACTGGGCCAGCCCCTCCCTGGCACTTTTGAAGGACCCTTGCCCAGGGCAGCCCCACTCTGAGCCCCCTAACCTCTCGGAGGCGGCCTCGGCCTGCTCCTCCTTCGGCACCATCTCCAGAACCCCCTCCTCGGTGCTCTCCAGCTTCGCCCGCTCCTCAGCCAGCTCTCTCTCCACCGCCTGCAGCTGTGCTGTGGTTCTAGCCAGCAGCACCGTCACCGCGTCCTGCGGGGGGAAAGGGACATTTCTGAGCACCAGCTTAGACCAAGAGCTCCTCGCAGCATGGCGGAAAGCAGGCGCGGTGCACACCCCACAGCAGGACAGTGAGCGTCCACTCTGCCAGGCTGGTGGCTGCTCTTCAGCAGGAAGAAATCCACCCCGCTGTTAGCAGTAAGACAGGAGCTTGGCCTGTTTGTGTAGCAATCAGGGCTCAAATTGAAAAACAACCAACGTGTCAATCACGATCATGAACACGTTTGCATTAAAAGGTCTGTCAGTTCTCTGGACGGAAGGAATGGCCAGATATAGCAATACGTGCCATTTTTATCACTTCCCTTGAAACTCTGCTCCTTCATCGCCACTATGTTCTAAGACTAAGTCTACACAGATGCTTCTTAGAAATGACTTCCCCCAGTAAAAGCCAGTCTCAAAGTCAGGAAGCAGCAGCGATCTGTTCTGTAGGCCAGGCCCGTGTACCGTCTTCCCGGAGGCGGCGAGCTCGGGGTCCCAGGAGGCGCCTTCTCCGGCCCGCTCACTCTCCTGGGCCCGGGGCGGCTTGGGGCTGGTGAACACCTGGACCGAGTACCAGCGCAGCTGCAGCTCGCTCGGGCCCTCACAGTCGGCCAAGTTAATCTGAGCAATGCCCTGCACGGGGGTGAAAAAAAAAGCAGAAGAGGCAGTGAATGATTTCACCTTAACAACCCACGAGAAGCTTTTAAAACATCAAGGTGACCCTTCAATCTTAACCAGAAAGGATATAAAATGTTTCATTGCCATTCAAAGGACTGCAGTAAAATGAAAGTGGTCGCAGAGGATCCTAATGGGGGCAGCTCCTGATTGCTTCTTCAGCCCAACAGAAAGTGCTAGAAGGGGAACAAGGGCAGAGAACGGACAACCTGGAGGGGTGGTCGGGCTCACGTTCTGCCACTTGAGCTGCTGATTCTCTTAGAAATTTCTGAAATAAGAGAGGACTGGCTGAACTCTACAATCTCTAATTCTGCAAATGAGAGGCAAGACCAACGGGAAAATTCCACCTTGGAAAGAAATCCCACCCCAGCTTCCAGGTCCTGACCCAGCAGTGGATGGCTGCGGTACTGAAGGCAAACTACGGACTTGCCTAGTTCTACGGTTGCCAGATAACATATAGGGCATCCAGGTGAATTTGAATTTTAAATAAACCATAGATTAAAAAAAAAAAGTATAGGGCCGGCCCCGTGGCTTAGCGGTTAAGTGCATGCGCTCCGCTACTGGCGGCCCGGGTTTCGGATCCCGGGCGCGCACCAACACACCGCTTCTCCGGCCATGCTGAGGCCGCGTCCCACATACAGCAACTAGAAGGATGTGCATCTATGACATACAACTATCTACTGGGGCTTTGGGGGGAAAAAGGAGGAGGATTGGCAATAGATGTTAGCTCAGAGCCGGTCTTCCTCAGCAAAAAGAGGACGATTAGCATGGATGTTAGCTCAGGGCTGATCTTCCTCACACACACACAAAAAAGGTATAAGTATATCCCAAATATTGCATGGGACATACTTATATTAAAAAAGTACCCATGGTTTATTTGAAATTCAAATTTAACTGGCCATCCTATATTTTTATTAGCTGAATTTGTCAACCCTACTTAGTTCCCTCGACTGAAAATGGGGATAATACAGAAGCTGTCACATAGGAGTTTTGTAAGTATTAGTTGAGATAATATATTTAAAGTACAAAACACTTGACAAGATAACTGGTTTTATCATCTCTTTCCGTAACGTTACGATAATTTCTAAGCACCCTGCCACAGGGCAAAGGAAGGAGGGGAGAGCGGGAAGGAGCGAGGGAGGGAGGGAGGGCCGGGACAGCGAGCCCTACCAGCAGTTCTTCCTGCAGCTGCTGACTCACTGAACACACGTATAATTGAAGTGACTTCAGCGTTGACATGCTTGAATGCACAGGGATTCTGAAAACTTCATTAAATACCAGGGGGGCCTGCAATTCCAGAGCCTTCGAGCAGTAAGTGTTCGGTGTGCTGGAGTTGAGTGGCGGCAAATAGACGCGGATGTGACTGGAACCAGAAAGAGGGAGGAAAAAGCAGACAGAGGCCATGCTTAGTGACAGATCTGTACAATAAACTGCACCAACTATGTGCACGTATACATATTTCCCCCTTTGGATGCCCATGGGCGGAATTTCCAAGTCTTCCAGATAAAGTCCTTCTCTCGACTAGGAGTAATAAGCCCAAAGAATGTACATGCCCCCAGAGATGAGGGGGAAAAACCCCATTCACAAAAAGGAAGACTTGGAAGTCAGTAGTTGGGACTTTAGAGGGAGTCACACTAAGGCTCTGCTTTCCCCATCTTTTGGGAAAACATCTGCATTATCTCTCCCCGGCCCCTGGCTCCCACTCTTCAAGCTCTGCCTGCCTCGCCTCGCAGACTGGTCGCCACCCACGCTGCGTGTCCTGCCCTGTCTGCCCCAGCAGGGAAGCTGGCACCCGGGAGAAGTTCAAACACTGGTGAATGCTGCATAGGACCCCATCAGGGTGAACAAAAGCCACGGGTGAATCCTCAGCCACTTAAAACCAGGCTGCTTCCAAGGCCTTTAGAAGACTAGTTTATAAAGAAGACTCACAGAAGGGGAGTGTACTCTGGGCTTGAACGAACCATCACAGGTGTGCTCACCTGCCTGGGTCACAGGCCCCTCCGTCGGGCAGCCATCTCAAGCTGCCGAGCTCACAGAGATAGCACCTCCCAATCAGTGACAACATGTATTTTCTTGTCCTCCCCTCAGACATGGACCCGAGCCCAGACGAGGCCTCTTCAGGCACCTCATGAGATCACAGAGCCAAGTGTAGCCACATCACCACCCAGCCCCATGACCAGGATGGACATTTTAAGCCCAAATGCTGCCGATTACGGGCACTCGGCACCTAGCGTCGCTGCAGCACATAACTAGCTCGGCATTAACTCTGTCTGCCTCTAATAAAGCAGACTCTGTACAACTTATAATCCTTTATATTTCAGACAGACATCCCCTGGTGTTTTATTGTAAATTCAGGCTCCAAAACAGTCTTTTCTCCTCCCCAATTGCCAAGCAGAACAGATCAGCGAGTAGCGCTGTGTGGAGGAGGGCTGGGAGAGGCCATCGTTGGCTGGACACAGCCACCGGGTCTCCGAAGGGAAACGTCTCGGCACTTGCCGGCCTGGGAGCTTACATTTTGCAGTCTTCCTTCACGACCAGCCCGGCAAAGTTCTTCAGCTGGAGCACATTCACGAGGAGACATTCGCTGGCACTGTCGTGCCTAAAAAATAAAATGCAAGTTCACAGATTGCGAATTCCCCACAGTGGAAAAATCCTTCTAATTGAACTACAGTGGTGGCCCCCAGCGAAGGGGGATTGTGCCCCCCCCCCCAGGGGACACATGCAATGTTGGGAGACATTTTTTACTGTCGTGACTGGTGAAGGGGGTACTACTGGCAGCTAGTGGGTGGAGACCAGGGACGCTGCTCAACATCCGATAGCGCACAGCACAGCCCCCATAACAAAGAATGATCAGTCCCAAGTGTCAACAGTGCCAACACTGAGGAACACTCGACTGGAGTGACAAGATGGAGCAAAGGAAAGCCGCCGGGGTGTGAGCACCCTGCCGTGCTGGATGAACACCACTGGTTACCCCCTTTACTGAAACTGCCGTTAGAAACCAAAAGGCCTCGTGTTGCACACCACCTGGTCACTACTCGGGGGAGGAGGGGAAGGGCCCCGCTGTCTGTGCTGCAACTTCCCCAGGAGTCCTACTTCGCTGGGGGTTTCCAGTGCACCCTGTGTTACAGCCCCGACCCCCCAGCTCCACGAGGCGACAGCTCCCAGCTGTGACTCTCAGCATTGGAAGACACGGCTGGAGCTGCTCCTCCCTGTCTCTCCTTCCTGCCCCCTCTGTCCCCTGACCTGAGGCCGGCTGAAGCAGGCTCGGGGTATCCAGGCCGGGGAGCAGCACCCAGGTCAGGGGGTCCCTCCTGGCCTGTGTGCAGGTGTGAGGTGCTGGGCGTCCCCCAATCTACGCATCATCTTTAAGAGCAACAGGGAACGAGGCTTCCGTACTCACAGAAATCCAACGTGGATCTGGGGCCCTTCGTTACCGCACATGTCTCCATGCGCAGACTCGTCAGCATCCTCACTCCTGAGCACAACCGGAAAGGCAGCAGGGTTACCCAAAGCAAACCGATTACTGCAGGGGGCGGAAGCGCTCCCATGTTAGGGGTGCTTCTTACAGAGAAGAGCTTTGCTACGTTGCGACTTAAATAAATACATTATTCCAGTGACTGAAGGGGCACGGCTGGTTCCTGGCATCCGGGACACAATCTCATTGGGTACCTGCCTACAAAGCGTTGTTTTTGAGAAAACAACTTTGCACACCTTTCAAAAACACATGTGATATTCAGGGCAAAGTTCAAAAACTAACTTTTAAAAAGTCTGCAATAAGTGAAATGTCTTGTAGATACCTGACATGAAACAATGACATCAAAGATGTCAAATCAAAATAAGGTCCAGAATCCCAAAAGGTGTTTTGTCATGGCAAAGGGAGGGAGGAAGTTCATTTCTAATGAACGTCCTTTCTAGAAAACCAGGTCTGTCTCGTAGGCTGATTCTCCTTTTCCAGCTCTACTGGGCTTAAGGCTTAAACCCAGCAGGGCCAGAGAGCAAGGAGTTGTCCCAGAGCCATGGAATGAGGGCCAGCCTCCAAACGTCACATAGAAGCCAGAGGAGTTTTCTTTGTGGGTTGTTAAGGCCTAATCTCCAAAGTTGACAGGAGCCACAAAGAGATCACGGCCCTGGAGAATCACACGAGGCATCAATGTGCAGAAGTCTCGGGCAGGCTCCCCTTCGTGCTTACCAGTGGCCCGGGGGACAGCTGCTCAGGGAGAGGACAATAAGATCAGCTTCTAACCTTTTGGTTGGAGGTTCAAATACGCCACTATCGCTCGCTAGTGAATAATCCGACAGGCACGCAGAGACGCGGCGTGCCCTCCTCTCCAACCTCTTGGCGCTGTCTTCTCGAAGAGTCACTGCTACAAGTAAGAGACACACTGGGGTCAGGAGGTGACAGCACGGGAGGCCGGGGACCGTGGTGCCAAGAAACGAACACTCTATGTTAGAGTACATACAAAGCTACTAAGTGTTCCAGAGACACGCCATCGTATGTACACATGTATGTCTAAATATGCTGCACTCAATTTTTTTTTAATATTGAAAGATTGAAGAAATAGGCTTCTGGCTACTTCTTTAGAAGCTCTTTAAACTGTCATAAATCTCTTTTCACCTCCTTAATGAGTAAACAGAACATAAAATGGTGGGAAGCCCCTTCACATTGCACTTGGAGAGACTGTCATCTGGAAAGACCGGGAAAGAAACGTTACTCCAAATGCAGACAGCAGCTGCGCTCTCTGAGTGGTGGGATAGGGGTATTTTTCATTTCCTTCTTTATGCTGTTTGGTATGTTCCATATTTCACACAATAAACATATGCTATACTGTCTTATAATCAGAAAACAAAATTTTTAAAAATTATCCAAATAAACCCTAACACAATGTAGCGACTTGCAAATTAGAGGACACAGCTGAACCAGGCGCAGCCTTTGAAAACATCTCCTTGACAGTCTCTCTCTCTAATTACAGTATCCTCCCCAGCAGCCCTGGAGCCAGGTTTGCTTCCAGAATTGCTTTTCTGGGGTTAGCAAGCTACCATTACGAGGTAGCTTATTTTCATCTCATATCTATTTTAATCAAGAGCCAAAGATAACCACTGACATTTTTCTTTCTACCATTTCATCAACTGTTTCTCCTTCTTCCCTCACAGCAACAAGTTCCTTTTAACAAAAATAGGCATATCATCTCCCATGCTAAGTGTGACTATGTCCACAAGAGTCTCAACGCTTCCCAGAGAGGTGCACTTGGTTAGAATGCAGGATTAAAACATGGCGCCCCAAACTGAGCCTTACTCTCAGTTATTAACAAGGTCCTTGTTGACAACACGGGGCCCTCTGTCCTCTATTCTGTGCTTTTCTTCAGCCATGTAAGCTCTATAAACTGAAAATCTAGACATCTGTGCATCCTTAAGTTGAGGGAAATAGCGAGTCCACCAATGACCATCTCTCTTTTCAACCAAAGTATTATTCACATACCAATTAAATCCAGACACGTTACACAGTGGACAAAACAGACGGGGCTGTGGCCTTTAGTCTCACAATCTCAACTACAGACAAAAGCTGGCGTTCCAAAGCTCTGCAATGCCAACCCTTGGGGACTGCTGGCTCCTCCCCCGTCAGGGACAGAAACTGGCTCCAATCTGGAGCGGCTGGAGACACTGGCTCTCGAATTTTTGATCAGGGGACTCCCAACTCCAGCTCTCCTCGTCACCTCTGTCACATGGGAGACCCAAAGCCCCCAGCTTGGAATTGCAGATGGAACCCCTCAGTTTGATGATCCCCAGCAAACCAAACAGCTCACTATGTCCATTCCCAGCCCTGACACTCGGCCCGGCTCCTAGATACAGCCTTACATTTCTTTAGGGAAAAACCGCCACGCAATGATGCTAAGCACTTCAGTTAACCCGACCGTGTGACTCTGACAAAGTTTCTCTCCCACTGCAATGAAGGTCGATGAAGAGAGAAAGGAGATGAAGGACTTAATCCTCAGTGATCCCAGGCTTAGTCACTGCACTCACGGAGCAACCGGAAGCAGAGCTGATGGAGGGAAGTACGGTCAGCAGTTGCCCTGGGTGAGAGAAATGCACACAGCAGATCCCACGCTACACACCCCAGCCATCTGCCCTCGGCCTTCAAGGCAAGGAGATGGACCATGGGGAGCAAGGTCAATGAAGCAGGGACTAAATCTTTCAAATGCTCATTTCAAAAATCATTAAAGACAGACATACAGACAGACACCGAGACCTGAGGATGTCAACACTGCTTGACAAAAAGGAAGAAAATATAACAAAAATCACATTGTGGGCAAAGCTTCCAGCTGGCATATTATAATAATGAAAGCCATTAACAGTCTGGGGAAAAAAAATACATAGAAAAATAAATACTTCCAGCTTTTAGAAAAGTTCTTACACAACTTTAGTAGCCACGATGAATGTTAATGTTGAACTGATAGTAATAATGGAAACTGTTGAGCTACATCAAAGTACAAGCTATAAGAGATGGCCTTGTTGGCCACATCCAGACCATCCTAAATACAGTGAGTCACTGCACAAAGACGTGCCCCAGCCTGACCAACAAGGGGAAGCAGAATTCCAAGGTCACTTACAGTGAACGTTTCTGTCGAGCCGCATGAGAAAAAGAGATAAAAAAAAAAAGCATAAAGTGAAAAAAATGCAAAATTTAAGCCAACAATTTTAAACAGAGTATGAATATAATAAAAACGTAATAGATAAATGAGCAAAGTCAAGGGTTTCACGGAGTTACATTAGCAAATACCAATGGGAAATGAAAATTGGAACGGGTTTTTAAATTATGACATTTGACTTTTAAAATCCAGGGAAGATAAAACCATAGTAAAAATGTAAAAAATGTTGAAGATCACAGTCCATCTCCCACTCCCCTGTCCCACCTTCCGTCCCTCAGATTGATTTAAAACACAATGGAAGAAATCACTCCTAGAGCTTGCTTTGGAGGTTGGGGGAATTTTGATTTTACCTTACTAAAATTTTATCTTGCTAAAACCCGCTTGAGGTCAAACCTGGACTGCACTGTTCCTAGCCAGACTGGAATGGAAAGTTGGAGAGAACTACGGGACCCTGGGCGACATAAATGAGGGGCAGGGTAACATAACCAGTACTAAGGTCCTTGCCAACTTTAGGAAGCTTTGATGACTCTGGGCTCAGGCATTCCCACAAGCACCAAGGGAGGCACGGAGTTACCCTGTGTCCATGCCTGAAGCTGCTTACCCAACCCAACCCTTTGGAGCACCCAAAAGGATCCACTCACTGAGTCAATTTCTAGTTTGTAAGGACCCAAATCAATTGGCAGTGTCATATAAGAATGCACCACCAGGTGGCAGGATCCACTCAGAGCCAATTATTTCTAGTTTGTAAGGACCCAAATCAACTGGCAGTGTCATATAGGAATGCACCACCAGGTGGCAGTATCCACACACTGAGTCAATTATTTCTAGTTTGTAAGGACCCAAAATCAACTGACAGTGTCATATAAGAATGCACCACCAGGTGGTAGTATCCACACACTGAATCAATTATTTCTAGTTTGTGAGGACCCAAAATCAACTGGCAGTGTCATATAGGAATGCACCACCAGGTGGCAGTATCCACACACTGAATCAATTATTTCTAGTTTGTGAGGACCCAAAATCAACTGGCAGTGTCATATACGAATGCA